CCCCGACGACGGATCGGGGAAGGGGGGAGGGGGGGGGGTTGCCCGACGACGGATCGGGGAAGGGGGGGGAGGGGGGGGGTTCCTACCCCACCCGCCTTGGGGAGATCCAGCGGCGCACCCTCCTTCATTTGTCGCCCAAAATCCGCCTGCAGGGAGACATGCTTAATCTAATGGTAGTGGCTCTTTTTGCTCTCATGCTTGTCATCTTCCTCCAACTGGTCGTTTCTCCCGCAGCCTTGTGTGGTGAGCACTGCATCTGGTAAATGTCCAACTGCCTGCGGCAACTCTTGTCACCGTGTCAGCCCAGCACCTTGGGTTGCGGTTGAGATTGGCCGGAAACCGTAACGCGTGACATTTCGTCTTCGAAGGTTTGGGGGAGCCGTAGCATGATGATAATGATGATGTTGATGTTGATGCTGATGCTGATGAGGAGGAGGAAGAGGATGAGGATGAGGATGAATAGGAGGAGGAAGAGGACGGTCGTCACATGTGGTATCTATCTTTTTCGCTCCTCAGGGAGTTATCATGGTGATATCTTGGGCTATTGTGGGCCAGTCTTCTGTGTCTTTGGGGTCATTTCTTTTGGGATGTCAGGGGCTCTCGTGGGCCGTCTTGGGGCCCGCTTGGCTGTCTGGGGGGGGGGTCTTGTGGTCAATATGTGTGTTTTGGGTTGTCGTGGGGCCCCCTGTTGCCCGTCCAAGGGTTCGTGTGACCGTCGTGCGGCAGTCCTGGGCCGTCGGGGGGCTCTCTAAGGCAGTCTTCGGTCCCTCCCGATACCCTCTTGGAACAGTTTGGGGCTCTCTTTGGGGCTCTCTCGGGCCGTCTAGGTGCACTCTGGGGCTGCCTTGAGGCCGTATTGGATGATGACATTTGAGAGAGCGTGATCCACCGCCGCTTTACTGTTGGAAAATTGCCAACCTTTTCCTCTGGAACCCGGGGTCGCCCCCCCCCCCCCTCCGAAATCCCCCCCCTCCTGCTGGAACCCCTCCCCCCCCCCCCCCCCCCTCCCCCGGCAAAACCCCCCGTCCCCTAACCCATCCCCCCCCCCCCCCCCCCACTCCCGCTCGAAAGCCGGGGGGGTCACTACCGGTTCGACCCCTCCCCCCCCCCCCCCCCCCTCCGGATCCGGAAAACCGGGGGGGGTCACTACCGGTTCGAACCCCCCCCCCCCCTCCCCCCTACTCACCGCCAGCAAACGACTCCCGGTCCCCACCACCGTCCGCATCACATCCCCCACTGGTGTTTCCAGCACCACTGTCCTCACCACCGCTGTCCCCACTGGTTCCACCACCGCCCCTACTGTCCCCACCAGTGGCCCCACCACTGTCGCACTGTCCCCGCTGTCCCCGGAACTGTTCCCACCACGGTTCCACTCTCCCCACTGTCTCCACGGCCCCCAACCACTGCCCGACTATCCCCACTGTCCCCACTGTCCCACTGACTCCTCCGCTGTCCCACTGAGCTGTCCCACTGTTCCCACCACTGTCCCCACTGTCCCCACCACTGTCCCAACTGTACCTCTGTCCCATTGTCCCACCGCCGTCCTCGCCACCGCCTTCACCACTGTCCCCACCACCATTGTACCCTCCACTGTCCCACTGTTTCCACCTCATTCCCATTGTCCCCACACCACTGTCCCCACCACCACCGTCACCACCACTGTCCACTGTCCCCCCCTGTTCCCACCATTGTCCCCACCACTGTCCCCACCACTACCGTCCCCACCACTGTCCCACTGTCCCACTGTCCCCACCACTGTCCCGCTATCCCCTCACCACTGTCCCCACCAACACCGTCCCCACCACTGTCAGCACCCCCCTCGGTTTTCGAGGGGGGGGGGGGGGTCGAACCGGTAGTGACCCCCCCGGTTTTCCGGATCCGGAGGGGGGGGTGGGGGGAGGGGTTCGAACCGGTAGTGACCCCCCCCTTTTCATGATGACAGGTGGGGAGGGGGGGTGGGAGGGGGTTCGAACCGGTAGTGACCCCCCCCGTTTTTCCGGAGGGGGGGGGGGGGGGGGGGGGGGGGGGGAGGGGTTCGAACCGGTAGTGACCCCCCCCGGTTTTCCGCCAGCAGCGGTAGAACACGCTCTTTCTGACATTTGGGAGCCCTCTTGGGCCGCCACGAGGCCATATTAGAGGCCTTTTTGGTCGCTGGCAGCTGCAGGAAGCCCGAACAGGTGAAAGCGCCCAACACTTCTAAACATCTAAGGGACATGCATGCGTTTGGCTTCCTCGGGCCCTATTGCGTGTCCTGCCGTGCCTCTCCTGGGCCATCTTGGGGGCCTCCTTTGCCGCCTTGAGGCCATATTGGGCCTTCTTGAGGCCACATTGGGCCGTCTTGGAGGCATCTCGGCGGCTTGGTTGCATGCCTAGGTCATCTTGGAACCTTGGTCGTCCGGATCCATTGTTTTGTGAACGCATCGTGGCCCCGGGAGCGCGGCCCCATCCTCCTTTACCAGGGATCGTTGCCTTAGCAGCGCGAATCCATTCTTTTTTACGAGGAGTCTTGGCCTCGGGAGCGCGGACCTACATGTTTCAGGAGGGACAGAAAACACACAGACACTATTATTCGTCGAGTCCCCAGAACAATTGGAACATATGGGAAGTGGGGGGAAAGACACAGACCCAGAAAGTATGGGAGAATCTGGGGAATCCTGTCATTTGTGTCTATTTCTTTGTGTGTCCCAGGGCCCCTTCAATTTTCTTTATCGGAGAGGGGGGAGAGGGACATGCATACGCGGGAGTGCGGTGAGAGCGGGCGGGGGCGGTCCCTCGAAGATTCCAGGCTCCCTGCCAGACAGCCCTCGCAGCACTCGCTTCGCTCTCTCCGATCCGACGCGACCCATTCCCCTTCCTCCTCTCCTTGACCTTCCTCCTCCTTCCTCCCCCTCCTTCCTCCTCCTCTCCTCCTTCCTCCTCCTCTCCTTTCTCCTCGTTTCGCTTTCTCCGCTTTCTTCGATGGCCTCCGCTTCCGCTTCGATTCGCCGTCGGATCCCGAGCTGGATCCCGATCCCTCGCCAGAGGCCTGCTGGCCTACCGACTTCCGCCCGCTCGACTTCTCCCGGCTCGGCCGCCGAGCTCGGCCGACCCGACTCCCGTCCATCGTCGGTCCGACTCGGCGATTCGGTGCTGTGCTCGCCTGCCCCGGCACGCTGCCGCGCCTCGGCGTGCCCGGGGGCACGGCGGCTCCCGCTTGCCCCTCCCGGCAGAGGGTGCGCTCGGAGCCGCCGCGAGCATCGACGGCGGGGGGGGGCAGGTTCGATGTCTGTTCATGGGAGCCTTGGGCGGCGACACTGAAAGCAGCTTCTCCTGCATGTGGACCGCCTGGGGGGCGCATGGGGCCCATCCTCCTGCTCCTCCTCTCCCCTCCTGCTCCCCCTCCCCCTCCTCGTTCTCCTAGCCCCCACGAGTCCAGTCCAAGTCTGGCCCGAATCCGGTCCAAGTTTGTTCCAGATCCGGTCCAACTGAGGCTCCAAATTGGACAGTGCCGGTGGCCACGCAGGCTCCCATAGAACGGACACCAAAAGGATCCTGGAGACCTTCCTATAGAACACGTTCCTCCATCCTATAGGATCCTGGAGTCCTTCCTGGAGTTACGTCGGGCGTGTCCCTCCTACAGTGGGAATATTCAAAGATAGTCAAAGAATAGTCTGGTGATTATTTCCTGCATATGTTTGGGCCATTTGGGAGCAGCATGGAATGGGCACCAGAGGCTGGGGTGCAGCAGGAGGTACCCCCCTGCCGGGTTCGGCACCATTTTTAGGGCCGCTTGCGGGAGCATCATGGCACCGGTCGTCGGGAGGAGGGCAAGGGCACATGTGCCGCGGCTGGAGTGGCGGGGCGAGGAGGGAGGAGGTTGTGGTTCCGAGCGAGCTGGCCGAGGAGGAGCCGGGGGCGCGGAGGAGGGGGAGGAGGAGGAGGAGGAGGAGGAGGGCGCGGCCAGGAGGGCAGCGGCGGAAGACGAGGTGGTTGATTACACAAGTGTGGATGCAGGGATGGGTTTGGGAGCCTGGCTAGAACTCCCAGCGCCACTGCAGGCTTTCCCTTCCATCTGCTCCACCCCATTGTCTCCTGCTTTCCACTCTTCCCTGCTCCTCAGCCTCCCTTTTCCTAGTTCTTGACGCGGTGGTGGAGGAGGGGGAGGGCTAGCGGTATACAGGGAAGAGGGATGGAGGAGGACGAGGATAATGAGGGGGAACATGATGAAGAGGAGGAGAAAGAGAGAGAGAGAGAGAGAGAGAGGAGAACGAGGAGGATGAGGAGGAGACGGAGTAGGATGACGATGACGAGATGGTCTAGGACGAGTGCCAGGAAAAGTATGACGAGAGCGAGGTTGTGGAGAAGAGGCGAACGGGGACGAGGACGGGAGAGGACGAGGGTCGAGAAGAACGAGGGCGAGCAGGAGGAGGAGGAGGAGGCCGAGGTGGAGGAGGGCGAGGCAGTGGAGGGCGATGAGGACACGGAGGAAGAGAAGGAGGAGGGTCAGGAGGGCGAGAATCAGTCTTTTTGCAAGTTCATTCTTACACATACCGCCTCGGCTCAGTAGCCTTCAGTGGCCTGTAGCTGCCTGTCGTATTATATCATTAGCGGCCTTTGGTGGCCTTTCGTCGCCGTTTGTCAGCCTTTATAGTGGCCTCTAGCGGCCTTCGGCAGCCTTCAGTGGCATTTAGCTTTATGATGCTCCAACCTACTTTAGCCTTGAGCGCCAGAAATAATTCCGAGCACCAGGAGAGTACCCAAATTTGAGGGGCTTCACGTGTCGGGCCCTGGGAGGCGATACTCTTTTGACATTGCCTGGACACTTTTTTTCTGCGTGCTCGGAATTCTTTCTGGGACGTCTTCCCTCAGTGCGACGTGAGCAACGTAGATTTAGCTGTCTTCAAAAGCCTTTGCACACGGGCGCAAGTGAAACTGATCGTCAACGACTGGCCTGAGGCGGCCACCGTGCCGTGGCGGTGCGTGCGTGCACCGCCCCGGCACGCGCCCCGCGCGGTGCCAAGGCGCGCCCTCAGCGGCTCGTACGACGGCACGGTGAGGCCGCGGGCCGCGGGCGGGCGACGCCCCGCGAGGAGGAGGAGGCGGAGGAGGAGGAGGAGGAGGCGGAGGCGGAGGCGGTGGAGAAGGAGGAGGAGGAGGAGGAGGAGGCGGAGGAGGAGGAGGAGGAGGAGGCGAGGGGCGGAGGCGGAGGCGGAGGAGGAGGAGGAGGAGGAGGAGGAGGAGGAGGAGGAGGAGGCGGCCACCGTCCTTCAGGTGGTGTGTGGTTTTCGGTGGTGCTGCGGGGGAAGCGGATTCCCACCTCTGGGTCACCGGTTCGAGACATATCCTTATCCTCGTGTTTGGCAGCACCCCACCTCGGTGCCGATCTTACAGATTCCCGCAGTTGCTGAGGGCACATCCCCAAGATTGCCATCGCTTTTGGCCTGCCGATCTTAGGGACAGGGTCAGCTCGGGCCTGTTCCTCTACAGGAGAAATATTCAAAAGTGGTCAACAAAATAGTCTGGGGACTATGTTCCTGGCATCTTCGGACCAGTTTTGAATATTTGTTGACTACTTTTCTGATTTGTCCTCGAAAATCGGCCTGTAGGGAGACAGGCCCGACCTCAGGATAGGGGGGGTGTCCGCTCTCAAGCGCGCGCGCGCAGCCCGAGGCTTTCGAGCGGAGAGGGCGGCAGAGGGGAGAGAAAGAGGGAGGAGAAGGAGGGAGGGGAAGGAAGAGGAGGAGGAGGAGGAGGAGGAGGAGGAGGAGGAGGAGGAGGAGGAGGATAGGGATCAAAGTTCGAGCCTGGCTACAGAGGACGGCACAGGTCCTGCTGCTGCGGGCCTCGCGGCGCTCGAGCCCCTCTCGAGCCCCTGGTAATTACTCGACGGGCCAGCGGCAGACATGATCGCGTCGAAAAAATCAGGACGGGAGGTTTTTGATTATTTTCGGGAAAAAAAAAACAGGACGGGAGGTTTTTGGCTATTTTCGGGCCTGGAGGGCCCTCGCCGGGCCTCGGGACCGTCAAGAAACGACTCGGGACGGAAAACCGGTCCCGGGGAAAGGGTCGGGACTTGCAGGGGCGCCGTCCTGAAAAAATCAGGGCGTCGCATGTCTGGGGTGGTGTGAGGAAAATGAGCCCTCCACCACGGCCGGTTACACCAGAGAGAAACCCCAATCAGTGGATGGTTTGGACCGATACAGAGATCGATAAGAAGATCGACCAGGAACCCGGGAACCCGGGAACCCGGGAACCTCGCCGCCTTCCGAAATCGGCCCGAAACCGGGAACCCAGGAACCCAGAACCAGGAACCCGGGAACCCAGTCTGCTACCAACATCGGCGGGAAATTTTCGCTCAATCTTTCAATTTCTGCTAGGACCCCTTCAGTGCAAGCATTGATTGGGGAACAGACAAGGCCGCCTTGACAAGCTGCTTGAACAATATGCCAAGCTGCTGCTTGAGCCAAGCTGCTTGAACAATGTGCCCTTCGCACTAGGTGGCGCTGCTGCCCGGATGCGATGCCATGCACCTGCGAAGGGGCGGAGGAGGAGGAGGTGAAGGAGGATCACCACCTACCAAACCACCCCAACCCAACCCGAAGGCCCAAATTTGCCCTCCATTTCCAGTGGGGGGGGGGTCGGGGAACGTTGAGAAAACACATATGAAGCCCGTACCCCCCCCAACCCGAAAGTCGGGTCTCCGGGTTGGGTTGGGGTGGTCTGGTAGGTAGTTAGGAGGAGGTGAAATTGTGGAAGGGAGGGCTGCCAGGATCGAGTGTGCCACCCGATCTCGGATCCTTGGCCCCGCCACGCCCCCCTCGGCCCCACCTGTCTCCAGGGCGCCCATTCCAGGCTCTGCCTCTGCCCTGAGGGCTGGCAAGCCAACCAGCAGACGGAGTGCGAGGCGGCGCGGGGCGTGCGATCTTGGATACAGTCGGGATCGTTGCTGATCTGGTAGCCTGGTGATCACTTGGAAGACAGACAGGAGGACGACCCGGGGATGCGGTCGTTGCAGCTTTGTTCAAGCAGGGCGCCTTCGCCCAGGCATCGGGTCCGAGGACCACGGGGCGACCTGGCTCTCGACGTGCCGCAGGAAGGTGCGGTCCACGGCTCCCGCCGTGATTGCCCTTCGCGTTTTTTTTGCAGTGTCGGGTCTCAGGGGCGGCGGTGAAGGTGAAGGAGGTGGAGGCTGTGGAGGAGGTGGCGGTGGGGGTGGTGGAGGAGGGAGAGGAGGGAGGGGCAAGCCAGGTGCGCTCTCCCCGTATCGGACATCCTCCCCCTCCCAATCCGGCGGCGCGTGTCACGTCGAAATTGGAATCCCAAAAACAATTTGGAGATCCAAAATGATCAAAAGGGGAGCTGCGCCCATTGGAGGAGGAGGTGGCAGCTGAGAAGGAGGATGAGCAGGAGAAGAACGGAGATGAGGGAAGATGAGGACGACGACGGCGAAAAGCAGCAATAGGAACTGAAGTCGAAGGAGCGGGAGGAGCAGGTGGACCAGGGGAGGGCGAAGGATGGGAAAGGATGGGGGCGGCAACGATGAGGAAATATTCGGATCCGGGAGAAAACATCTGGCCCGCAAGAGGGTGGAGCCAACTCCTCCCCCTCATCCTCCTCCCCCTCCTACCCCTCCTCCTCCTCCTCCTCTTCCTTTTCCTCCTCCCCTCCTTCCTCTCTCCTCCTCCTCCTCCTCCTCCTCCTCCTCCTCCCCCTCCTCCCCCTCCTCCTCCTTCTCCTTCTTCTCCTCCTCTTCCTCCTCCTCCTCCTCCTCCTCCTCCTCCTCTGGGGGGGGCGGGGGGGAAATGGGGGGAGCGCCATTCTGAGCGACGGGGGCCAAGCGCCGATCCCAAAAGGAGTTCAAAGGAAGTCGTTCCAAGAGGAGAGACCGAGCTTCGAGCATGCGCGCGTGGAAAGCAATGCGCGGAGGGGGCGGGTGACTCCCTGGTCATCTTCGGGGGAGAGCGGACATCAATTAGTAGTCATAATTATTGAGTGCAGTGGAGGCCCATGCCAAGAAACACCCTGCTTGCCTCCAGGGTGCCCTGGGCTTCGTGGGTTTCGATGGCTTTGCTGTGGACAGCGTGACGTTCCCACACCGGAAATCAATGGACGTCCTGGGGTCTCAGGGTGAGGTTTCTGGTAGAAGGTTTCTTGTGGTCGAGCTCCTACTGTAATTGTAGACGTAGAATGAAGCGGAGGAGGTGGAGCAAGACCCAAACCCTCTAGAGTCATGGAAAACACGCTATGGGCAGTTGTTCTCAATCTTCGGCCTTTGGAGGCCCTCGCCTGGCCCTGGGACCGTCAACAAAAACGACTCGGGATGAGACGCTGGTCCTGGGGAATGCCTCTAGGGTTCCTCGCTGTGAGAAACATTGGACGTCGACGGTCTGGGGAAGCGGAGGAGGATGAGGAGGAGGAGTAGGAGGCGGGAGAGGAAGTGGAGGTGGGAGGGGTCGGAGAACGATCGGGTCGGACAAAGGTGTGTGGGGGGGTGGGCGGTAAAGGGGGGTTGCGGAATCTGCCGCATGCAGCTGGGTTCGGCCAAGCTGCCGGGGGCCTTCCCGGATACATTGACGCCGCCGGCGTCAGAGCCACTCAGCTACGTGAGCTGACTCGCCAAACCCCCTTCCTCAACCTTCGTCCCTCGTTATCCTCATCCCATCCCTCCTCCCTCGTCCTCCCGCTTGTGTCTTCCTCCGGCTCAACCTGTCCTCCTCCTCTGATGTTTGCCTCCTTGTGCCCCCACATCCTCTCCTTCATCCTTCTCGTTTAGTTTGTGTGTTTACTGTTCCAGGTCTCTCTCTCTCTCTCTCTTTCTCTCTGCACCTGCCACCTGTCAGAGTGAGGGGGCCGAACGGTCACTCAGTGTCCCCGGGTGCGTGGCTAAAGTGACAATCCGTGGTGAGGATTCTGCTTGCTGCGGTGTTGTTGTCGTTGTTGTTGTTGTTGTTGTTGTTGTTGTTGTTGTTGTTGTTGTTGTCGTTGTTGTCGTCCCACCCGCGACCCACCCGCGACCCATCCTGTGACCCTTCCGCGGCCCACCCCGCGACCCACCCGCGACCCACCCGAGACCGACCCCGCGACCATCCGCGACCCACCCGCGACCCACCCGCGACCCACCCGCGACCCGGCCCGCGACCCACCAGCGACCCACCGTCGACCCACTTGCGACCCAACCCGTGACCCACTCACATTGTTTTAGTAAAAAATCGGCGCCTGCGGCGGGCTCGTTTTATAGCTTGAAAAAATTCTGCGCCTGCGGCGGGCTTCTTCAGAGCCTCGCTGACTGCCGACGTACCCGCCGCCCCCTCACTCTTGTCCGAGAATGCGGGGTGCTACGGTAGATACATGTGCTACCCATACTGCATGAACATCTGCCTACCCGTGACGTATCTCTCTTTCTCTCTCCTTTCCTGTCTCTTTCAGGATGGGAAAAAACACACAGACACAATTAATCGTCGACTCCCTTGAAAATTATTGGGAAATATGGGAAGTGGGGGGGAAGAAAAAACACAGAAAATATGGCAAAATATGGGGAATCGTTTTATCTTTGTGTATTTACTTGCGTGTCCTGGGGCCCCTTCACTCTTCCCGCTCTGCGGGCCCCAGGCTCTGGGACCTCGCCGACCGCAAGAGCCTGAAGACCATGGCGCTGCACGGCGGACCAGTGTGCGCCGCGCTGGGGGGGGTGCAGCCCCGGAGGGGGGCCCAGGGCAGACACGCCGGGGAGGAGCCTTGAGACGGGGGTCAACGCAAGCGGGGGTCAGGCAGAGCGCCGGGTCTTGCAGGGTCCTGCAGGTCCTGGGTCGCGTTGACCCGGATTTGGGTGCAGGATCCTGCAGAATGTTTCAGGGTCTTTCTCGCGTTGACCCTGGTTTGGGTGCAGGATCTTGCAGGATTCTGCAAGGCCTGACTGACCCGGGTCTGGATTGGCCCGGGTCAGAAGATCCCCGACGGGCGGAGCCGGGTGATCGACGAAGCATCGGCAGACCCAGCGGTTGTTGAAGGTAGGTGTGTGTTGAGTTCCCGATCTGCCTAAGTCGGGCCTGTCCCTCTACGAAAAAAATAGTCTGGGGACGATAAGCTGATCATTTTTGGCTCGTTTGGGGCATCGTTTGATTATTCTGCAGTTTTTGTCCCAAAAGCCGCCCGTAGGAGGACATGCCCGACCTAACGATGTGCTACAAGCGCCTTCCTGCGTCAAGTCTTCCAGCGGCCTGTCTCTTTCCCTTCCTCTGTTGGGAGGGCGGGCGAACGGGACCGCCGCCTCCCTGCTCCATTTTTCTGCCCACTTCTCCCGACTGGGCGAGTAAACACCGACGTTCGAAGGTGCGCGCAATTTTTCGGATCGGCGCTGGAAACCTCCTCCTCCTCCTCCTCCCCCTCCTCCACCTCCTCCTCCTCCTCCTCCTCCTCCTCCTCCTCCTCCTCCTCCCCCTCCTCCCATCTTCTTCCTCCTCCTCCTCCTCTTCCTCCTCCTCCTCCTCCTCCTCCTCCATCTCCTCCTGCTCCTCCTCCTCCTCCTCTTCCTCCTTCTCCTCCTCCTCCTCCTCCTCCGGCGCCGCCCTCTGCGCGCGGAGGCGCGTGCCTCCAGGAGCTCGGATCTACGGCGACGCGATGCTGTTCCGAGGGGAGGTAGCCCAGACGCGGGCGTACGGTAGGTTTGTGCGGCGTTAGCACGCAGGCGACGGCGAAGGCGTTCGAGGTTGAATTCTGCGACGCGGGAGCACCGATGGACACGGTGACGCCAGTGGACCCGACTGAATAGAATTCTGAACGGTCGGGGTCGGGATCGGTTCAAGGTTGAACGATCGACGCGGGGTCGTGGGGTCCCGATCCTACAGGCGACCTTGCAGAGCCTTTTGCGACGGAATGTGCGTGCGTGTGCCTTTGTGTGTGTGTTGAGCATCGAGTTCCCAGGGTGCGCTGCGCAGCAGGCAGCCACCGCCAATGACGGGAACAAAAACGGATCGGGAGGGACAGGGCGATTAGAAGTAGAGGAGACGGGGAGTTTGTTATGGTGAGGACGAGTCTGAGGGCGGCGGAGGATGAGGGGAGAATGCCGGCGGAGGTGAAGACGAAGTTGGAGGCGAAGGCGGTCAATTTCGCCGTCGTCGGAGGAGGAAGACGTGGGAGGAGGCGGAATCAGAGTAAAGGAGTGAATCCGAGGAGAGGGAGGAAATGGGATGAGGGAGGAGAGCGACTAAAAGGATGATAGTCAGGCAGGTGGGGGGATGGGGAGGAGGAGAAGGAGGGATGAGCTGGGCGTGAAGGGATCGACGATGAGGACGAGATGTAGTGGGGGGTGGGAGAGGGGTTGGTTTGGGGGAAGGGGGGCGGTGGTTGTGATGATATTGGTGATGATGATGGTGATGATGCTGATGATGATGATGATGATGATGATGATGATGATGATGATGATGATGATGATGATGATGATGATGATGATGATGGTGATGGTGATGGTGATGGTGATGGTGATGATGGTGATGGTGATGGTGATGGTGATGGTGATGCTGGTGGGGATGGTGATGGTGATGGTGATGGTGATTATGGTAAGAAGAAGGGCCGTCAGGCCGATGCTCCAGCAAAACATCGGGGCAGTGAAGATGGTCCCCGCCCCTCGGGGCCCGCTGGGGAGAGCCTTTCCGCAGCCCGTGGCCGAGGACGATAGAAAATGTTACGTCGAGCGAGGCTCAGCGCGCATCATCGAAGAGGAAACAACGCCATGCAAACTTTTGGCGCTCCTCGCGGATTTCTTGGATCTGCGCCAGGCCTCCCCAGCGGCGCCTCTGGTGCCGCCCCTGGCGCGCGCCGGGGATGGGGGTCCGCCGTGGATCCAAGAAATCCGCGCGGAGCGCCAAACGTTTGTTTATGGCGTTGTTTGTTCTTCTACATCAGCGCTGGATGGCTTGGAACCGCAGCGAGCGATTCTTCAATCTTGTGGAGCAAGGCTTGGTGTCACTAGCAGCGGTGGCACGAACGGCGGCGCAGTTCACACTGGTGGTGTCTGTACGACTCACAATGCGCGAGTAAGCGTGCGACTCACAATGCGCGAGTAAGCTTGTTGGACCGAGCCGTGGACAGTTGACCTCGTGAGGACATCCCATACTCGTTCGTGAACTTCAAAGTTGTGGAGAGGTGGCATCGTGGCAGCACAGCCTGGACTCGATCTCTTGCAACTCAGAGAAGTGGAGAGTTGGAAGACACGGCTGCATCCTGAACTCGTTCAACCTGGAACTCGTCCTGGGCGTCTTCCCCTACCCGCATCCATTGAGCGTTTTTCCTTATTTGGACCCACATCCATTGTGGCATGCAGCTGGTGATATGGAGTACGCGGTCTCGAACTTCAAATGAGACCGCCGCTGCGGGCGGGAACGCTTGTAGCGCTACCTCACGCGTCGCGACGGCGCGGGATTTCCGGCGGGGTCGACGCCGTGGGTCGCAGTCCGTGTAAAGATCGTGCCTCGGATGCGCGTCCCTCAGGCTTGCCAGGAGTTCGGAGCCTCTCCAATTCCGTCTGCCTCCTGCACTGCGCCGGTTCTCCCTCCTGCGCAAACGACTTCCAGTTTCTGGACGCCCGAAATGGGTAGGGAAAGAATGGGTACAATGCCCAACAGCAGTTCCTGTTCATGTTGAACAGGATTCGCTGTCCACGCCGCCGCGGCCTGTGTCCATTCGAGGCAGAAGGCCGCCTGCCCAACAGCGGCCGCTGTTGGTTTGGGACGTCACTTGTTGTTGGGCATTCTACCCATTTTTTCCGTACCCATGTCGGGCGTCCAAACAGTTTGGTGGGCGAGGTCCCGCTCATGGTGGCGGTGCGTCGTGGCCCCTGGGGTCCCCCACCAACGAGGCGCCGCGACTCGCCCGCGGGCCCCTGTCACTGGCGCTCGGGCCCACGCATTCTCCTCCGTGGGCCCTCAGGGCACTGATCCCGCCGAGCTCGAAACGCTGACGGGTTGAAGACCGTCTCTGTGATTGTTTGTCATTCCTTGCGGGCCCCCAAACCCCTCTCCCCCCCCCCCATGGAGTAGATGTTTGCTGTTTTTTGGTGCCTGTTCCGAGCGGGTGGAGTCTCCCCCAGAGGCCGCACTTTTGCAAACAGTCGCACTAAGCAGAGGTCTGGAGCCAGACCCCCCCCTTGCCGCCCAATGTCCAAACGCCGAATAAAAAAAACGCTCACTTTGGTTTTTCTTGCGCAATCAGTCGCTCCCAGAGTCCCTGTCCGTTCGATGGTGCTGACGATTACGAGGAGAAGGAGGAGACCGAGAACGCGAGTGAGGATCAGAGGGCGACGCGAGAGGGACGAGCGCATGTAGTGTACTCTTGCTCGCCATACAAGGGAAGTCGTGCCCGTGACGTTGTCTCTGCTTGTGCCTCGCCTGGCCTGGAGCAGGGGGGAGGAAGAGGAGGAGGAGGAGGAGAGAGGAGGAGAAGAGGCGGAGGAGGAGGAGGAGGAGGAGGAGGAGGAGGAGGACCGAAGCCCCCGACTGCGGGACAGCCCGCGGCGCGCCCTCCTCCGCGTCTCCGCGCCCCTAGGAACAGGGGGAAAGCGGCAGAGGCCGAATGAATCGGGAATCGAGAGAAGAGGGAGTCAGAAGTCCCACGCGTGAGGTATCTGCCGTTCTCGTGCCTCCACCTCACGCCTTCTTCCGACCCTCGTCTTCCTTGTCCTCTGCGTTCCCTCTCATCTTCCTCGTCCTCCTCACCTCTGCCGCCGACAGCCCCTAGAACCCTGCCCCACCCCACCCCCCGAAAACTAATCCAGAACCTTGAAAACCTCCCCCGCCTCCACAGCGGTTTGCAGTCGAGCAGGGCGGCCCCTCCCACTATCTACTTGAATATATATATATATATATATATGCATACACATACAGATAGGACCACACTACGGGGTGATGAGATGTGATAAGGAGGCTGGGGGGGTGAGGGGGAGGTGGTCGATTTGCGATGGCTCTGGGTTCTTTGGTGGTGTCTTCAGCTTTCCTATTGTCGCGCACATCTGCCCATCTATCGATCGACACATTTATCTAATTATCTATGCAGGACGACCATATACATATATATAGATACCCATCCATATACATATGTCTAACTATACCAGTCGATCAGTCAATCAATCGATCAATCAACAAATCATTGTATATGGATATATGTATATATATAGATCGATCAATCTATATATCACTCGAACTGTATCTACATCTCTCTACGTTCATGTATGTATATGTGTATATCGATGTATCTCTGAATATATCACTCTCTATGTTTCTATACATCTGCCTATCTCCGTATACGAATATACAAACATGTACATGCCCATCTCTCGATCTCCCTCTATTTGTATTTCCATCTATCTTTCTATATCTGTATATATATATAGCAACCTTCGGGACAACCATCGGGACATCCAACGGGACAACCGTCGGGACAAACATCGGGACAACCGTCGGGACAAACATCGGGGCAACCATCAGGACAACCATCGGGACAACCGCAACCATCCAGACAACCGCCGGAACAACCGCCGGGACAACTGGGGCCAAGAAAGCGCTCGGGGGGCGGCCTTTTTGGCATGGCAATTACTGGCCTCTACGAAGAATGGAACTCGCACAGCTTCCACTCGCACGCATGCGCGACACGAACCGAAACCGAAACCGATTTCCGGGTTGGGGTCACTTCCGTTCCAACCCCGCAACCTCCGCTCTATATATATATATATATATATATACATACATATATACATACATATATATATAAGTATGGGTGTATATATATATATGTATATATATACTACATATATATATGAATATATCTGTATATTTGTGTATATATATATGTGCTAGAAGCATCGCGCGCGCTTCGCGCGCTCAAGTTCTAGCTAGGCCTTATGGGCTAAACCATGGTATGTTATGTTTGTCGCTTCTTGCATCCAGGGACTCTCTTGCAGGCCCTGCGCACGCCTCGGAACCGTATAGGAGGGGAACTGCGGAAACGCGGATCTCTTTGGTTTACGTTCGGCATTCAACGATTTGAGGCCCTCGAAGGGTTCCTGGGTTCTTTTCTGGGGCCTTAATTGTGGTCTGTTGTGCAAGAGTAGACAGGGGGTGAACTTGGAAACAACATTGGAATTGTGGACTTTTCTTTCCTTTCCAAGTTGTAGTGCCTGTGCTGTGGTGCTTTGGGTTAGACGCTTTCTGGATGCAGGCCACGGTCTGCTGGGATGCCTCTCGGGGTCTTCGTGTACAAATAAGCACGGGGTTCGAAAACCAAGAATTCTAACATTCCATTGATTCAACTCATGGTCATGGGTTCTTGATTTCTACAATGGTTTCAGGGGCAGCCAAGAGGGCACGAATACGACCCAAGAGAGTGCCAAGACAGCGTCAGAGAGTTCATCAGCATTGCCGAAACAATTTTGCATGTGACCCCGAAGTCTTGATGGGGTTCGAGGAAGAGGATAGGAAGTAGGAGTCCCAAGTTGGAAAACAAATGAATCTCTGGATTTGTTGTTCAAATCCCTCGGTCTTGGAGCGTTGGAAGCGGGAAAACGTGAGAAAGCGAAACACGTCGACAAAAACCATTGGACATCAACGATTTTACCCTCTTCGGGCTCCCTCGGGACGGCTCTCGAAGCTCTTTTAGGCTGTTTTGGGTGCCTCGTCGGGGCTCTTTGGGGGGCCTCTCAGGGGTCTGGGTTGTGTTGGAGTCCTCTCGGAGGTCTCTGGCGGCTCCCGCTCTTGGGCTCATCTTGGGTCTGTTCTGGGGCGGTCTGGAGCTGTCCTGGGCGCCTCTTCGGCAGTCTTGGGTCCGTCTTGGCCCGTCTTAAGGCCGTCATGGGGCCTCTTGGGCGGTCTCGGGGCGGTCTTGGGGGCCTCTTCGGCCGTGTTGGAGCGTTGGAAGCATAAGATTGGTGAGAAGGCTCAAAAACGTGAAACAAAATCAATGACAAGTAATTATTGTAGGTTCTCCGGGAGCTCTCGGGAGGGAGGCCTCTCGGAGCTCTCTTGAGGTTTCCTGGGAGCCTGGGGAGCCGCACGAAAGCTACCCTGGGTTGCTTGAGAGCGTCTTGGGCTGTTCTTTTAGGTTCTGGCCGCTTCTTGGGATCGTCTTGGGCTGTCGTTGGGCGTTTTGGAGGCTCCCCGGGAGGTCGGGAAGCGCGGTACCGAGAGCGTTCCGCAGATGTTCCGGGAAGGTGTGGGACCCCCGCGAGGAGGGGGCGCGCAGTTGTTGAACAAAAAGGGCAATCTCTGGAATGTTTTTTTTTTTTTGTTGTCACATTCTTCGGTCTTGGAGCGTTGGAAGCAGGAAAACGTGAGAAGGCGAAAAACGTAGACAAAAACCATTGGGAATCAGCGATTTGACCCTCTTCGGGCTCCCTCGGGACGGCTCTCGAAGCTTTTTTGGGCTGTTTGGGGGGCCTCGTCGGGGCTTTTTCGCGGGCCTCTCAAGGTTCTGGGGTGTGGTGGAGGCCTCTAGGGGGTCCCCGAGTCCTCTCGGAGGTCTCTGGCGGCCTCCTGCTCCCGCTCTTGGGCTCATCTTGGGTCTGTTCTGGGGTGGTCTGGAGCTGTCCTGGGCGCCTCTTCGGCAGTCTTGGGGCCGTCTTGGCCCGTCTTGGGGCCGTCTTGGGGGCCTTTCGGGCGATCTTGGGGCGGTCTTTGGGGCCTCTTCGGCTGTGTTGGAGCGTTGGAAGCATGAAATGGTGAGAAGGTCAAAAACCATGAACAAACTATGACAATAAACGATTTGAGGTTCTCCGGGCGCTCTCGGGAGGCCTCTCGGAGCTCTCTTGAGGTCTCTTGGAGGCCTCCTGTTAGCCTGGAGAGCCGCACGAAAGCTATCCTGGGTTGCTTGGGAGCGTCTTGGGCCTTTCTTTTACGTTCTGGGGGCTTCTTGGGCTGTCTTGGGGCATTTTGGGAGCTCCCCGGGAGGCTCGGAAGCGCGGTACTGGAAACGTAACCCAGATGTGAGCGAGGTGGAGGACGCTCCGGGAGGGGGCCCAGCGTATTTGTGTTTCTGTATATCTATATAGTGGAATAAATATACATATATAGATATATAAATAGATTTATAACTACACATATTCACGTGCAATTTTGTAGCATGCATATATATATATATATATATATATATATATGCATAGATAACATCGATAACAAATATATACATATATGTATATACATATATGTATGATTGTGTGGGTGTGTGTGGCGCGGCAGGTGTGCCGTGGCCGCGGACTGGGCCGGGATGCGAGCGGTGCGCCTGCAGCGCCCTCCCACGCCGCTTCCCCCGCCGCAGGGGGGCGCCGGGGCCGAGGGGGGCTCTGCTCGTGGGGTCGGGGGGCATACGCTGTTGCG